ACGTTGGCCATCATACCCCGGAGGTAAGGAAGTGTGGTGGACTCTTCTAGTCCCTCTTGCGCCATGGCGAAGAGGGAAGCTGCATGTAAGAATACAATCAGCTAGCCACACGACCAGCCCATGGGTAGACAAGCTAGACTGACTCAAGTATGTGTACTGCAATTGTACAGTGCAATTGTATAGACCGCCGACAGGGGTGCACCAAGACCTCCTTACAGTATAAAGATCTGTGTGCCTATTTCCTGAAAGAGGGCATGTATGTGTAGGATCGCGCAGCGACATGCATGATCGCTGTGCATACAGTGCACTCATATTAACGCGTCATTGAACGATAACGTTACCGCAGTACATGCATGCTCGTACAGTTGCCCCGGGTGCACACACGCACACATGGACAATTAACTAAGACCACTACATGTACATGGCAATTAGCAAAGGGACTTGACCGTGATAGAGATTCATCCGTCACGAGGCGTAGAATAGTACGACACCTCCAACTTTGTAATCTATGTTGTTTCTAGCAACGATGTCATAACAAACTTCCTGCGTGACTGAAAGCCTAGGTGCATGGAGATCGTGATGACTAGTACTTTCCACATAGTCGCTCCTGGACACCCAGATCGACACCGTTCGCGACAGTGAGAAGTGGACATGGTGATTTACTCAGACTATTCTTCCTTCTGGCACACACATGCATCAAATACGCAGCGGGCTGTATTGCCCCATTCATAGCGCGGAGTCATTCTTTTAGGTTAAAAAAAAGCGTGGGAACTGGTGATGAGCCGGATGACGGCCGGGTCTCACCCAAATATGAACATACCTGTGGACCAGTGTTCCACTAACATAAACTCCGGATATCATGTGACAACAAGTACAGCAAGCTTCATTCAAGGGCGCCTACTAATCGGATGAGTAAGCGCCCGTGTGTTTATTCACCAGTAGCATCAACGAAGTCCTCGAGTACGTACAGTACATATTTAAATTACAAGTAGTTCATTATTAATGTAGTTCATTATTAATGTAGTTCATTATTAATGTAGTTCATTATTAATGTAGTTCATTATTAATGTAGTTCATTATTAATGTAGCACTAGAATATCGAGGTGCGATTTCTCACAAAAGTGTGCAGAAAACAAGGGTATACAAGTAAGAACTAAGCGTGACAAGTGTGTATCAGCAACAAAAAACAAAAACAAAAAAAAGTGAGAACGAATGATAATAATAACAATAATAAACAAGAAGGTGACAAAACACATTTAGGCACAAGTGGCAACAACGTTGCCACACTACACAACAGAACATTATTTGAACAATTTTAGGGTAATAACACTATCTTTCTGGACACACAAATTCGGCTTATGAATGCGCTGACAAACAGCTTCCAAAACTTGTAACTGCAAAAGATAACCATGACGAGCACGGCACAAAACAGAAAAACAGGAATCAGAATAAGTACGACAACAGTCAGTACTAGAAACCAAATGATTGTATACTGAAGACTTGTTATTACGAGATGGACGCACACAATCTCGACTCACGCGCACACCCTCACACTCCCTCTCACCCTCACTCAGCTCACCTTCTCCCTCACTGTCCGAATCAGAACCTGCTCCGTCATCCACCGCAAGTGAGGAGGAGAGTCAAACCGCGGTGGATGACGGAGCAGGTTCTGATTCGGACAGTGAGGGAGAAGGTGAGCTGAGTGAGGGTGAGAGGGAGTGTGAGGGTGTGCGCGTGAGTCGAGATTGTGTGCGTCCGTCTCGTAATAACAAGTCTTCAGTATACAATCATTTGGTTTCTAGTACTGACTGTTGTCGTACTTATTCTGATTCCTGTTTTTCTGTTTTGTGCCGTGCTCGTCATGGTTATCTTTTGCAGTTACAAGTTTTGGAAGCTGTTTGTCAGCGCATTCATAAGCCGAATTTGTGTGTCCAGAAAGATAGTGTTATTACCCTAAAATTGTTCAAATAATGTTCTGTTGTGTAGTGTGGCAACGTTGTTGCCACTTGTGCCTAAATGTGTTTTGTCACCTTCTTGTTTATTATTGTTATTATTATCATTCGTTCTCACTTTTTTTGTTTTTGTTTTTTGTTGCTGATACACACTTGTCACGCTTAGTTCTTACTTGTATACCCTTGTTTTCTGCACATTATTAATGTAGTTCATTATTAATGTAGTTCATTATTAATGTAGTTCATTATTAATTTAGAAGTTGTCGAGTTAGTTCGAGGCCATTGGGCATTGGCATTTAGCTATTCCCTATTGGCTGTGAATGTGGGCGATGCTTTCCGTCATGAGGTCCCACACAAAGCACAGGGTGCAGGTTAAAAGTAAATGGATATTTGACCAACAATGAGGCGGCGTACGTGAGTCGAGTTGCGTATCCATCTGCAGCCAGTGTCAAATACATGTAGCGCTGGCATCAGTAGGGCGGCCACGCCCGGCAATGTGCCGCCCGGTGTGTACGTGTCCCGCAACACCGGGATCGTCCTCCGAAAGTTCAACATTGATGGATGTTACTGGTGACATGCGGAAAAGGTTTTTCGCATGACGCCGCCACGGTATGGAAACCGCCCTCCAGACATCATGTAGCTACAATTGCATTCTTTCACGACACAAGTCACGCACCCATCATCAAGTGTTCAAGATCATAACCTGCATGCTCCATAAATGTAGATGAACTCCAGACGAATCGTGCTTGCTGCTGCTAAAGCCTAAATGGCCATTGGATTGCTGGAGAGCGATTGCAGTGCAGGATTAGGTCTACCTAACAAACTCAACTCCGAACCCCAAACTCAGGCCACAGCGGCGTGTATTTCCACTTTCCAGTCTAAAAATGTTTTTAAATACAGTAATGATGCCCATGTGTCGTCTGTTCAAGATAGCACCTGGGGGAGTGGGAAGTTGGGGACGCAATCCAGCCTAAAGTACACAAAAACAATCACTGTCATCTATGATCAATCAGCGGACTGGCACTTCTTCAAGTCGTGTTCAGGACACAACAATTGTACTTTCCGTAGGTGAAATAATGAACATCCTCATTGTGATCGTACACCAGAAGAATGGAAAACAGGAACTTATCATTACGCCACGGTACTAGGTGCAAGTATGTAGGGAGCAGACCCCCAGAATCTTCCGCTCCGCACTGCGTGCTCTGCATTGCTGGACACATGGAATTGAGCACGGGGAACACTGGAGAATGCATGGCGTTGTTCTTACCTCAGTCACCTCGGTGTGGTGTGAGCCAGAGTTCCTTTCAAGGCTTTTCACGGAACACAGATAGCCCAAGGACATGTGAGTCCGACGAGAACACACACACACACACACACACACCATGGGTGTGAAAAAAAGACACGCCCTCAAGCATTCGCATGGCCGTCCTCAGGGCGCGAATGTTAGAACATGACACGCGAAAATGGTGTCAGTAGGCGTACATGCACGCGTGGCTGTTGTGAACTTTGGACCAAGTTCTTGCCCTGTGTATCTTGTCTCTACTTTTAGCAGCGGAAGGAACACTAATCACTCCCGACGGCGCAAAGTCTGAATGGGGGGATATGTTTCGTCATTTCATACGATGTCCACTCCACTAATATTTAAAGCACAGGAAACTGAGACGTCTTTGGTAATCCTGTAAATCTTTAAGTGTTGTGCAGTACACTTCGTCCCACGCTAGAAAACATGGTACAAAAATAATCCCTGCACTCTCACGGCCAGGCATCAATTGCAGCATTTGTGGTTATTGCCAGGCCAGGCCAGATAGCACCTGCACACTTTCTCTCATAGACTGATATGAGTCACTAGTCTTTTACACTCTGTCGCCGCGATTGAAGTCCAAAGTTACCCAGCAGTGAGTTCTTTCCAACTTTGAAATACTTCAAGTCCAGATTATAATAATGAGTTGCTGTAACTGAAGCTAATGATCAGCGCGGAGAGTCTGATACATGTACTGTAGATTGTTCTCATTGCCTTTGGCTACTGTTCGTTTTTTTTTTTTGATCCACTAAGTCAGGAGATAGGTTCTTTGAAGGGTAACACATTCGAGTACATGTACAGTCTGCAGGCTATGCCACAGGGCACCCCGCACAGGGCAAAGTCAATATTCATCACAGCCCGGACAGGCCCCAGGACCACACCTTGGTCTATAGGGCTTCATTCTTGCACAAGAAAGAGACTTGAAAACACAGATCACACATATTTCATTCTTGAAAGCCTAATTCAGTTCCCGAAGGGGAAGGATAGCTAGTCAAAGTGCATTTTATGGGTTTGCAAAGCAGTCACGAATCTGCACACTCGCTATTATTAATATTAATTAGTGCAGACCCAGTTCAGATTTCCCAAATAATTCTACTTCTAGATTCGGCTGGGGGCTGCCTACAGCTTCGTGTTTACAGCTGAGCAATTTAGGAATCAGTGATCACACCTCAACTGGCCCAGCCATTCAGTATAATATCCAATCGATGACCATCATCATTCACTGGTTTGAGGGAAAAGTCTGAAGAAAAATTGACCATCGCCACCAGGATTCGAACCAGGGACCTTCGCCGCTAGTTGAGGCCAGCGATGCTCTAACCACTGAGCTAAGGTGTAGCCGTCATCCCATCATCATTGCAAAAAGTGGATAACTCCACCGTCGCAAGTCATGTACTCTGTGGCCAGTGGCCTTATTCACACCAGCACATTTCACTAACTCAGTGATGAGCAAGCTGAAAGCTGCATGCCATCCTACTGAATTTTCATGCTGGCATCACCAGGTGAATTATAGTAATACTTTTGACAAGTACATGTCGTCACTAGAGTCATCCACCCACTGGACAGTCCTGCAGCCGTTGTACATCATCCATGCTCAGGGCAAACAGGAAAGCCTTGCGTTTTGCTGTGGCTTTTCTGTACTAGTACCTGTTCTCACCTGGAAAACAAGGCTTGCTGTACCTCTCCCCTGGATAACAAGGGTTGCTGTACCTGTTCTCCCCTGGATAACGAGGCCAAGCGAGTCAAAGGAATCGGTGATTGCAGTATGTTAATGCTAATATTATTGGGACGTATTGCGTCTGGTGCATGCCATAATTCTGGGTTTAATAGGAATATGATGACGGTCTTGAAGCTTGAGAATATGTCTATATCTATTTTTTATAGCTTCCAGTCGAGGTCAGATCAAGTTACTGTCGTGAATTGCGTTTCTTGAATGTTCGAGTTTGAGGTGAGCATAGCCAAAGACTGCCTCCCATCTGGTAAAAAGATCCTCAATCCCTCGTCTCCGAGTGGGGTAGAGGATAGTGATGTGGGAAGGTGATGTTGATCTTGTGCATTGCACGCCCAGTACACCCAATAACAAACACAGGTGAAAAATGAAAATGGCTCGTCTTGGACTGATGCTGTTCCAAAGTTCTCACCGACAGCTGTGCGGAGCTGGCAACCGAGGTTAAAACTCGTGCAATTCAGGGTATGTTAAGCGCCCTTTTCACGAATACTTCCCCTTGCAGTCGCGGACGCAACCGTTTTGCTAGTCACGATGAGCCAGGTTCAACGGTAAGCTGACATTGGCACCTATTCACGGATGTTGTTCTAGGCCTCAGCGTCTCTGCGCCACTGACCAAGTGTATTTGCCTTGTCCAATCACAGAACCGGCTAGCTTGAACCAGGATTGCTAATATCACCATCATGCTGAAGACCAGTAACAGAAGCAGAGGCTGCAGCTGTAACACACTGGGTCAGGTTGTACTTGTGCTGCAGCGCCAGAATGAACTGGAAACGCACCAGACGATTCTTGAGCCTTTCATATGGGTCCTGGGACATGCATGGAAAAAGAGTGCAGAAAACATTCACTGAACAAGAAGACGCCAGATGAAGAAAGTTAGTTACGCAATGTAGGTAAATATCAAGTTTCCTTTGCAGTGCAGTTAGTCACTTTCGCGAGCAGAGCACTTGAAAACACCACCATTTAGCTTAGTGCTAAAAGGTGATAATGATGTCAAGGGCTTGCCGGAAGTGAGTGGATAACATGGTTTCAAGTGCCCCTATTCCAAGACACTCCATCTTGCTCCAACATACTAAGTTTTCCTAATGGCATCTTCACGCCAGGAGAACAAGACACCCCGGATTTGCTGCAAGGGGCTGTGAAAGGGTGGTGAAGAGATAAGCATACCATGCACTGCTTGAGCAGAACGCATGGCAGTGCAATTGAGAGCACAAATCAAGATAACCTGTAGCCATCAGCTGTTTCTCTTCACCATGCATACGTACTGACACCATGCATAAGTACTGACACCATGCATAAGTACTGACACCATGCATAAGTACTGACCAAAAAAGACACACGAATGGAAATTCAAAAAGGTGTCAGCTGCAGAACGGTGTATTAGTCTGCCCGAATGAGCTTGTAGAACCAGACATCAGCTTCATGTTTGGCCAACTGCAGACCTGATACCTGTACATGCTAGGGCAAGTGCACTGGAATCGCCCCGGAGCCTGGCACCAACACATCATCATCCCACCACTAACCTGCATGAACTTCTTTGAAGAAGCGGATTCGTGATGAGGGAGGTGCACTGCCCAGGCGTTCGGCAACACAACAAACTGGTACCTGGTTTCAGAAAAGTCATATTACGACATGGGATGACGGTGACGGGGCATAAGAGAGAAATGCCAAACATTCCTGTCCGTTGAACTTTGATCATGTGCAAGTATTGCAGTCATGATTATAAAAAGACAGATACATATTCTAGGATTCCATCCAGACACATACATGTTCACTGTTGTTCACTGTTCACTGTTGTTCACTGTTCGCTGTGTCTGTTATCATCCAGCTGTGTTCATTCTAATCACTGAATTCCACCCAAATACTGTAAGTCACAGCTTGAAGTCACGGCACATATCCGGACTGATGTCATACATGACAGACCCCTCATCAACAGGTTCATTATGAGCCTGAAAGTTCAATGGTATACACAGTTGCAGCTGAAATGAAGTTTTTAGCTTAACACGTGCACGTGAAACTGGTCTGCTATGATAAATGCAAAATCATACCATGTAGATATCTGGTTTAATGAAAATATTACAGGTCTACCATGGCAAAGTATATGGAGATGTTGATCCCAAACCCAGCTTTTCGCATTAGTTTACTAGCCTCAATTCGGACAAAATCGGGCTTTCAAAAGCCAGCAGGGCCACCCATTGGAATGGATCAGGATGAACCGTAAAGTTGTCAATCATAAAAGTTGATCATCACAGAGTGTGACAGACTTACCCAGCAACGGACAGCTCAATCGTGTGAGACACTTTATTCATGCCGTAGCTACGGAAGGATTCGTCATACGCTGGCATTGCTTGTGTCTTCCTGTTGTCAATGCAATAGTTGAAAGCAGCATCAAGACCAGTAGCAACAACAAAAGACCCCCAGCTTACAAATCGTACATACTGTCTGTGAACTCAAAGCTTCACATCAGCCAAGTTCTAGACTGCTAGTTCCCTATCTAATGATAGCTGCTGTCTTCTACTTCAGCCTTTCAAAACAGCAGTTCAATATTCAAGTCACAGGCTATGTCCCAAAGATTAAGCATATAGGGCTCTGGAAAAGGTGGAGAAAATGAGCCGAATGTGCCGCTAGATAGAGCTGTCTGTAACACTTCCAATACACACCATTGGCAAAATGTAGGGCAAGTTATTTCTTGTGAGTCTAAACTGACAAAGAACAATCACCAGACAATGTTTCAACACTGTTACAGTAACGGCGGTCGGAACCTGTGTGTAACACAAGCTGTAACGTATAACAGCTATCAGACAAATACCAATGCAACTACGCATCAGCATCTTGAATGCCGCAACATCTGGCAAACAATCAAACTGCAATCTACATCTTGATAATATTTCAGAGCGGACCTCACCGCGTGGGGTTCTGTCTCTCTGTAGGCAAGAATGTGTGGATACCTTGACCTAGAAGGACCAGACGGACCAAAAGGGAATGAGCATGCGAGAGCGGCGACACTCACCTCAGTACCAGGTATGGCTCAAATTTATCCTGTGCACAAAGAGAATGTGAAGAAGAGGATACACAATACCCAAAAAATGGCACAGAAAACATGGTATTCAACCAAACAGCATCACCATTGTTATTGCTACTTATCACTGGGTGATGATATGACCAAAAGTTCAACGTACTCTAAAACTCTATCAAGAAGTTCACCGATTGAACAAAGTCTAACGTATGGTACCTATGTGGTGCCTGGTGACATTTGGGCACAAGCATTGACCTCAGTTTAGAATTGTACTTGTAGAATTATGAAATGTGTCGGTACGGCGCTATTCACTTGTCCTGTACTTTACAAAGCAAAGTCATGTCATACAAAAATCAGTCTAGGAAGATGCCTGCTTGCTGCAAGCGTGTGCACTCAAATACAATGCTATGGCACGCGTAATGATTTTATTATTTTTCAAGATTTCAGGAGACTGACCAGCATGCCAGTACACTGTAATATCCATTTTAATGGCGGATGTCCGTGACGTCGAGGAAAACAATTTTGGAAGCTACGTGTACTGTTTTGGTCTCTGTTTAGGTCCCCTTTTAGGTTTGGCTGTGCTGGATTTGCTCTTTCCACTCACCTGGTATGTTGTGATTGTATATGGTTCACTTGCCATGTACCAGACTGGGTAGTCAACTGGCTTGTGCGACAGAGGGGCGTTGTGGTACTGTGAACATCGACCGCACAGCTGTTAAGGAGGTCTTTAGATATTTCAATGCATCAGCACAAGCTTTCTCAAGCAGGTGCTGTGCAGATTTTCCGCGTGTATGTACTGTGGTGTGCACTGTGGTATGTGATGTATTGCCAGAAGCATCGTGTGAACAAGTAGCCATGTACACATCACGGACACGTACACATACACTCAGGGTTCCAGCCAAAGGGGGTAGGGAGTGGGGGCAGCCCCCCCCCCCCCCCCTACCACTCACTCTGATCCCCTACCCCTCACGCTGATGCCCCCCCCTCCCCCCCCCCCCCTCCCTCTGATAGCACACCACCCTACCCATTTTCAGATTTTTGTGTTTTTTTTCAGTTCACACAGCGAAAATACGGCCACAAATTGATCATTCCGACTGCTCTGTGCATGTACCCGTATGTTGTATATTTTGAGACAAGGCAACACTGCAATACTGTAGTGGAACATAGAAAAGGTGTATGAACTGTTTGTTTTCCCTAACCCTGCCCCTACATTTTCCTTGCTAGAACCCTGCATACACCCACACACGCATGTATACACACACACACACACACACACACACACACACACACACACACACACACACACATACATACATACACACACATATACACACACAGGGAGTAACTGATGTTCATGCACATATGATGTGGATATTGAACGGTTCAAAGTTGCTTCCAGGCTCTTGTACCAGCTTCACAAGCTCCTGCTTCGACATTGGAACAGACACATCCTCCTGCAGGCATGAAAATACGTGAAAAATCGGAATAAGAACAGCATGTAAAACGGAAATGGAACAAAGATAAAATCTTCCAATGTAATCGAATGAAACATCGTGCAGAGATAGTGTACTCCTTTTGTGAATACACTGGGAGGCGGAGGGTGCAAAAAGAATTTCGCAACACCGGCACTACATCTCCTGCATTATAAGGGATAACATATGCTGGCGATCTGCCGGCTTTCGCCGTGATTATCCTGTTCACTGTGCCCTTGAAAGTAAGTTGGGTCGCTGCCCTTACTTAAGTAGATGTCGGGTTCCATTCCTCGAATACTAACAACAGGCAACTCTGGAATGTGCAGCATGCGGAGCATATACATGTATCGTAAAGTACCGCCGGAGCGTCCCGTCCCGCGAGAGCGTCCCACCTTGATTTTACACCCAGAGGAAGGAAGATCGTATGGCAGAGTGCAACGAAGTTTGTACGATGTGAGAATCTTAGTGTACTAAGGTCACACTTGGCAGGTTTTTGTGTGGAGCTTGTGTCCGCTCGAAGGTACGGATTGACTGCAAAACGTGCAATATGTGTACAAGGTTCATGTCGTATGACCTACAGACAGCAGACCACCTCCACAATACGACCACGAAAGGATGAGATGGTGGGACGCTCTGGCAGTACTTTACGGTACAGGTAGCTTCATTACTACGTTAGAGGTACTTCTTCACTTGCTTACCCTGGGTGGCGTATCAAACTCAAACGCCGGAACAACAAACGCAGTTTTGTCCAGACGATTCTGCACTAGACTTGACTTGTACTCACTGCTGTTGAACCATGATGAGACTGATGCCCTGCATACCAACAACACATACAGCATGTCAAATACAAGCACAGCCTTCTACACGTGGACAGCCATCCAATGCTCTGAATAAGAATGCAAAAAATGATCAAATGCGGCGAGTATCTCTTCCACTTTTAAAAGTACACACCCATGTATTGCGGCATACCAGAATGTCCTGTTAAAGTTTGGCGATGGGACGAAATCGGCATCCAGCAAGAAAATAGTCTCTGTTGGAGAGTGTCTGTACAGAAAACGAACAACATAAACAGCTGTATCACACTTAGAATGACGTTGGCATCCTGCCAGTGTGCTCGCCCTACTTCATCATACAATCAATGTTCATGGTCTGGTCTCCGCTAGAAAGGCAAGAACTTTTAAGAGCAAGACTGGCAGAGACGCAGACACTGTGTGCTGGATACTAGACTAACGGCACCAGGGAGGATAATCTCAGGCAGTGCCTCTGGTGCGCAATGTACCAGGCGTGCACCAAGACCAGCGATGCATGTGGCTAACATGGAACATGGAACAGGGCCCTACCGCGGCGTACCTGATGGCAATATTTCTCAGCTCGTTGATTGGATATTCTTCGCCCGCCTATGGAACATTCAATTCAGCACAGGCAGAGCACAGCGAGGACTAACTCAGCATTGTAAGAAAAAGGACTTTAAAAACCACACGGTATGTATTGAAAATCACATAATTATGCTGCAACAAGCAACTGTTAATAGGCTCATCGAACATAACTGAAAAGAACAAAATACATCCCCTGTCCCAGTCTGACTCCCCCCCCCCCCCCCCCCCGGTCTGACCCCCAACCCCCATCTGCCCCCCCCCCCCCCCCCCCACTCCCACCCAGAATGACCCCAATCACATTCACCACCACTACCAACTGAACAGCACTGGACTTCCAAGCCGCCATGATTGGACCGTACCGACTGCCCAAAGACAATCCGAACAGAGCACATTGTGATGATCGCAATGCTCTGCAGTTTCTTCTTGACATAAATCCTGCATCAAGCACACACAGAGAGGACAACAAATGAATAGAATCAAGCTTTATGAACCAATATTGCTCCTATGACAGGCTCATGGCATCTTTTGCTGAACATTTTCCCTCTACTACATGTACTTTGCACCTCTACAAGAGTATAAGGATGCACTACAGGCGCATGAAGCATGTTACAACACAGCAATCTACTCATGTCGATCCACATCTACTCAAACGTGAAGGTAGTCAGTGCTGCTCTTCTTTTCAGTGTGGACCCCGTCAGTTCAACACGAAGAAAGGGTGGCTTCTTCATCAGTTGAGAACAAAGAAATATGGTCCAAGATGAAAGCAAGGTGAAATACGCCAGGCCTGCATGTACGTATCTTGCTAGAGGTCTACTGTACACTGATCACGCATAAAACAAGTTTCAACCCGGTGTAAGAAAGGCATGCTGCTAACTTTTTCCACTCCAGGTCCGGTTCGCTAAGGGTTGATGTGTTGGGAACGTACAGAACCAAAGACACTGGACCTACGCGAAAATACAGAACAGGCAAGAACCCAGGTTGAGAAGGCCAATCACAAGTGTTGGAGCTCAGATTCTAGGAGGTGGGCGAACAAACATGTTTCTCCATCTGCTGCAGCCAAACATGCACTTGACCGAATCCTACACATCAGTGCTCGCTTACCATGCCAGTGCTGCATAGTACGTTGCACGACGTCGATACGATCCAGCGATGCCTGTGTCACCAGTGTCACGGTCTCCGGGCTCTACGGACAGTGACAGTGACAGCAAGAGGTACCTAACTGGATGCAGTTATCAATGATACATTTCTATTGATATGTTACAACTCGACAGCAGATGTTTTCCCATTTTTCAAGACCCTAGTGCCGTCCACATCTCTAGTAGGTGCACAAAAACCTGGCTGTACCTTGACACGCACTGAGAATGCAAGACTATTAAACGAAAAGGAAGCCGACACTTCACATGCAATTGCTAAACATCTCTCCGGCCACACCCTTCACTCTTGCTACTACATGTAAAATGGAGTCGGTTCGTTGGGCTGAAGGACATCTGGGATCCCAGAAGTTTCGCCAGGCACCTGCATAAGGGCAAGGTTGGCCTTTATCTGTAACTGTCTTCTCTGGCTTATAGAGTGAAACAAACACCTGACATGAACATGGGTGGATCTCATGGGTCAACCCCCCACACTACCCTCACCAAGTTTCGACACAACCAACTGACACCCGATGTTCACATCAATTAGAATGCCGGCAAAGTTCTTACCACCTGTGTCACCGGTGTGTACAACGTCCACTGCCGCAACTCGGTTTCTTGACTCTTCGCTGGAATGAACGAGTGCAGAACTGGCGGACAGGTAGCGGGTACGTATGAGCTTTGCCATCTGCTCTGTGACCGCAGGGCCTTGACAACATATCCAGCTGACAGGCAGCATGGTGTTCATGGCAACAAGCAACAGAAATAGCAAAACCAATCAACACTGCAATCCTAGACCAGGGCCTTATTGTGACCTTAGCTCAAGCTGCATAATACCTGCTTGGTTCCCATCCCCGATTTGCCGACTGACACTACATGAACCGACTTGCAGTCCCTATTCTCACCGTTACCAGTTTCAAGCAACTTAAGAGTACGTGTGGTCAATGTGATCTACACTGCACACCACTTGGTAGCACAGAGGGTGAAGTGCTGCAACTGAGCATTTGCTCTGAAGCAATCTGTAGCAGTCCAGTCAGTTCTGAGAGCCAGAGTCGAATTCTGCTGATGATGGCTGATGGGCGAAGACAACTGCTCCGTGGAACCGGAACCGTGACTGGGAGCAGCTCATGGTTACACTCTTGAAGGAATATGATGTACTACTGGGCAAGCCATGGCTGTCTCGAACTAACCCGGATGGGGACTTCACCAACAACCGTGTCACACTGTCCGATCGGGGAAGGAGGTCGTAGTCTGATGGTCACATGGCTGTCTGGCAAACACCCTCCCTCGGTAGAGATGGAAGAAGGCAGCCCCGCCGAATTCATGAGCATCAAGCAGGCGCGGAAGGCGCTGAATGTATAATAGTGAAGATCGAAAGGGATTTCCACGAAGATGCTAGAAAGGAAATGAAAATAATGGTGGCCAAGCAGCAGCGTAGCGAACTAGAGCAGGCTCTCAATGCGCATGGTACCAGTTTCCCTCAGGAACTACCAAGGAACCTGCCGCCGAGTGGGAGAATTATCACGAAAGCGATGGTAAGTCACCCTCCCAAACTTCGTACTGTTTGTTACAATCAAACATTGAGGAACTACAAAAACAGCTGGAGAATTTGCTGAAACACGGCTTCATAGAGCTCGGCAGATCACCATATGGAATGCCCGTCTTCTTTGTCTAGAAAGCGGACGGTTCTCTGACGCTGGTGCCGGGGTGACTGGAGAATATTACTGTGAAGATGCGAGCCTCTCTTCCCAATATCGATGACCTCTTCGATACCATACGTGGGGCAAGCTGTCTCAAAGCTGGATCCAATTTGGGTTATTACTAGGTCTGAATTTGAGAGCGAGATATTCCGAAAGCTGCAATCAACGCCCCATTCTGCCAGTTCTAATTCCCCTGTGATGGGGTCCGGCTCGACAAAGACACCTGCAAAGTTCATGGGCCTAATGCACGATGTCCACTTTCCTGGTTTCAAAATCTCTTTGGGCACTAGCTTCGACTGAGCTAGCTCATAGTGACGATTATGTTGGTTGTTTTATTTCGCAAATCCAAAAACGGTAGTTTCTTCCGAATAACAAGGTAGCGAAGAACATAGCATTGCAGGAACCAAATACACTTCTGACGGTGTTTCAAGCCATCATTTCCAAATCGCGCAAAGGCGAGGGTCCTTCTCGAGTACTTCAGAGTTTTCAACAAGTTAGCAGCGACTTTGTAGCTGTAGCTTCTGTGACAGCCTTCCTGTTCTCCTTGCAACTGCAATACTGCAACAGGTCAAGTCGTTGAGTGACGCTTCATCAGAACAATCCTATAATTTTGGTGAGTCCCCGTTGCGTTTATCGTGGCACTTCAGAAATTGCACGATTCGAAAACCAGATAGATTCTACGGCATTACCACAGGGAGAATGAACTGATGCGAAGACGACTCATTTATCGAATGGAAGGAAGTCTCGACAGACGTTTTTTCTTTGATGCAAGATAATGAAAATCGCTTTAGCAGAGCCTCCTGGTAAGACATAGGCAGTTTGTAGGCATCACAGTCGTTTTCGCACGCATTCAACCTTCATGACGGTTTTGTACAATGCTATTAACCTGAAAAAGACGAAAATAGTATGGACCCGCTGGGGTGGGCGTTTGCAGTGAACTTTGCGGTATGTCTTGTTCCCGGTTTGAAAGTGGAGAGACGACTTCCGTGCCTCCAGAAAAGGGTAGAGAGCGACAAAGGTACATCTGTAGCTGATTTTTGAGTGCTCCCACGGTACATTTTGAATGTACTTGAAGTAATAGAAAATTCTCAGACTGAAGTCAGGGCTGTGGCGGGCGTACAGTTTTCTTGTGAATTTTTAGTTGTTTCGTCTCGTATCTATGTCAGTATCGTGATGGTGAAGTGGCGGGGATGATTCTCTTCCACTAGGCTTCGTTCGGCCGACTTTGCTTCGTCCTCGTTGAAAAGTGATGCTGAACAAAAGACCGATTCGCAAAAATATGTTGATTTTCAATGTACGTGATGACATGGGTTGCTAGCTATGAGGACAGGAGTGGATACTATGGATCTGGACTGGACCAAACAATCCCAGCCTTACAACATATGACACAGGTTCCGAGCCATCGCTGACACTAAGAAATGTGCAAGCAGCAGATACACACCACGGTTACTCACCCACAATTGCCCGAACTGCCACATTGCTGATGCTCATGTGACCGCTGTATCCATAGCAACCCACCATCAGGAGAAACGCTGAGACGGTCTTTCCGGTTGGAAGGACCTAGTAGCAACGAAGGGAATGGACACATGTCCTCGTGCATCATGCCTTCCGTGCCACTCATAACCGTGCGGCCAGGGGCGTCGGACTCAGCAGATCTCCACTGGTCCGGCAAACCGGGCCATCAAACATGACAAACCACAATGCTTGATACTTCAGACACCTGCATATGAATGAATCTTGTTGGTGCCCATAAAATATTGTAGTCGTTTCCCTCTTTGCCCATCACAGCCTTAGAATTTCCTCCATTGCTGTAATCACTTTGCTGTGGCTAGCGCCCCATGCCTCGTGAAGACCTGCCCCCCCCCCCCCCCCCCCGGGGTGATTATTCATACCTAACGTCTGGGCCCAGCACTGGTACACTACAGCCACTCTATTTTATAGCAAACCAATGCCCTCACATAAGTACATAATGGAGTGTGCGCTAACTTCGAGCAATGTCAGGGGCACTGACCATTCGGAGAAGACATACCGTACTCGCGCGAATAGTGCCCCTGGTGCAGTATTTTTCAAAGTTCACCACAGATGGTGCACTATTTAAGACCGGGCACTATTCAAGAGAGGGCACTATAATTATGCTCAATGCTGGTACATTTACATTTTTTAAAAATTAAAAAAATTCACGGTTCGCGTGAGACTCGGCTGGAAACCGAGTTTTCCGCATCCGCAGGAACGCCACCACCCTTCAAGGATCAAGGCGCAGATGCAGCTCCTAAATCGGTGGGAGGTGAGTAGATCAGCTCACCAGCAAGTGGTCAAAGACCGAAAATCCCATTCACTGCATCCATGTTCTCCTCGTGCCAGGCCACGAGCTCCCAATTAATTGTGGGTCGCAGCACAGCTGGAAAAAATCCTTCCGCTTCCAAGCAGGACTTGAACATTTACATCGCCAAGCATAAAACAAAGAAAGCAAGGAAAAACAGAGCCTAAAGCTTACTGTAAACTATCGTGACTAAATAAGAACTGCGAATTTGATCCTGAAACCCCCAGCGCAATGGCATGGACAAGAACATTAGCCAAACAACACCAAACTTATGGTTGATAAATATGGTGGTAAAGACACACCTGGCAATATGGCGGTTAACACACGCCTGCCCACACACCCTCTCTAGGCTGCAAAGTTCTGGCAAACTTGCACATGAGCTTGGTTACAAGATGAGGGGGGGAGGGCACTATTCGAGAAACAAGGGTGTTATTTTTCACTAGCCCTCGTAGACAAGAGAGGGCTCTAATTGCGCGAGTACGGTAGCTGTAAAAGACAACACATGAGAGAAAAATAAATGTAACACGAAGCTTACCATGATCGCTGTGAATTTAGTGTATGCATATGTGCCTTCTTCAATGTGTAATCTGCAGGGGAGAAAGAACAATAAGCATGTTATGTAGCAGCACAAAAGAACTCTCAAGGATGCGATGTGCAACTTGCAATGCTTGCGACCAAAAACTGCCTGTCGCATGCTGCCCCATTCCGTGGCAAGTCAGCTATCGCAGAAATTCACCACAGTTCAGCTTGTGCATATCCAAAGACAAAACTCACAAGCCAAGACTTTCAGCCCAATATCAGCTATGCCTCAAGCCTGAGTACTCATCACAATATCAGCTATGCCTCAAGCCTGAGTACTCACCTGCCATCGCAAACTGAGGATCACTATCGGTTTCACTCAGGTAGAACTTACTTCTTAGATACTTGGGTGCCATCAGCAAATAGAGCCAGAGCGAGCATCCCGAGCAAATGATCCTAGTGAAGTGCACGCAACAACAAGACACTTTTTTTGTTACGGGAGGTTGGCTACCATTGCTGTCAGATGATGTTTTAAAGAAACTGACGAAGTCCCCCCCCCCCTTGCTGCTGCCCCCCCCCTTGCTGCTGCCCCCGCCCCTGCTGCTGCTGCCCCCACCCCTGCTGCTGCTGCCCCCACCCCTGCTGCTGCTGCCCCCACCCCTGCTGTTGCTGCCCCCACCCCTGCTGCTGCTGCCCCCACCCCTGCTGCTGCTGCCCCCACCCCTGCTGCTGCTGCCCCCACCCCTGCTGCTGCTGCCCCCACCCCTGCTGCTGCTGCCCCCACCCCTGCTGCTGCTGCCCCACCCCTGCTGCTGCTGCCCCCACCCCTGCTGCTGCTGCCCCACCCCTGCTGCTGCTGCCCCCACCCCTGCTGCTGCTGCCCCCACCCCTGCTGCTGCTGCCCCCACCCCTGCTGCTGCTGCTGCCCCCACCCCTGCTGCTGCTGCCCCCACCCCTGCTGCTGCTGCCCCCACCCCTGCTGCTGCTGCCCCCACCCCTGCTGCTGCTGCCCCCACCCCTGCTGCTGCCCCCACCCCTGCTGCTGCATCACAACATTAGTATATAAGGCTTCTGTTCTTTATAGACTAAGATGCTTCATATACTCAGTTCAAGTAACCAAAGTATACTTGACATGTTCTTCGTGATGGCATGCCCATCTGCAACCATGGAGCTACCAGCATCTACTAGAAGAAACTTGAATGAGGACCAAAGAGCTACAAGTCACGCTATTATATACACTAACACCACGAGTTACTTTACAATCAGCTTGTGCGATAACATTGCACGACACTGAACAAAGGTACTGACGTTCTACACATAACTGGCAATCAGCTCTAGCACATCTTGGATGCGCACTCCAGCAGCCTTCCAACTTGGAAGATTCTAAGTCTGATTTGCATTTGAAGGTCAATCAGACGGCATTGAATAATTGAAAAGACAAGTTGCATCCGTCATGCAGGTGGGAATCTAACCTCAGCGGCAGGATGTCGTGTTGCATGAATTGTGCTGGCCAGGAGTGAGAGCTGATAATGGGTTGCACCATCGAAATCCTCCTTTACCTGGACAAAAAACACCCAACGGAACAGAGAACACTCTGCTTAGTGCGGGCAATGCCTGCTCGAGAGCGAGGTTCCCAGCAGGGTGTCGCAAATCGCGAGATCACCCTACTCCTTATTAATTTATGCATGTGTATTCTGTGGTGTACCCGTGTACATCGTACATATTTGCACTCTCATGTTTCTTATTATGGTACTACATCTCCTTGCATCGACCTTACAGCATACTACTCACTATGCATGCATGTGTGTACTCCGTGCCCCGCATAATCGACAGTGCTTGTCTCTTGTTGCTGTTCAGTCCGGCTTTCCTGGGTAGTTTCTTGACGAGTCGTCCTCTCTCAGTCCTTCGTTGCATTTTTCTATTTCAATACAGGTGGAATCCTGATAATTCGAATATGACTTACAGGGGAAGTTAAGCCAAAAAATTAAAATTTCACCAGTTGTAGTCTTCAGGGTGCTGAGTCGAATGGTCTTGGTCCGAGAAAGCTAAGACGCTCCCTTCCTACTTGAATCCCAATCGAACTCGCGCACTTCCACCGAAACTGGGTGACTGCGCCCTACTAGATGGGGATTTGTATGCAAAATGTCACTAAAAGCGCCATTTCGTTCTTATAAAAGCACGGATGACCGCGATTGGCCCATATGTTGTACTCTTTTGGACGCTCAGTCGACTGGTTTTGGTCCGGAAAGGCTGCGATGCAGCGTTCCTCCTTTATTCCCAATCGAACTTGGTTGAACAAGCGGTCACGTGCTCCTGGGTGCCCAAATCACCTGGTCACCATGCCAGCAGGCGACAACTTTCACACCAAGGTTCAACTCGAGTTCAACTCGAGTGACAGGACTGCACCCAAAAAAGGTGAAACAGGCTAGTAAGTTGTACCCTGCAGGCACGGTGACCAGCTGACTGGTGTACGCAGGAGCACGTGACCGCTTGTTCAACCATGTTCGATTGGGAATAAAGGAGGAACGCTGCATCGCAGCCTTTTCGGACCAAAACCAGTCGACTCAGCGTCCAAAAGACTACAACATATGGGCCAATCGCGGTCATCCGTGCTTTTATAAGAACGAAATGGCGCTTTTAGTGACAATTTGCATACAAATCCCCATCTAGTAGGGCGCAGTCACCCAGTTTCGGTGGAAGTACGCGAGTTCGATTGGGATTCAAGTAGGAAGGGAGCGTCTCAGCTTCCTCGGACCACGACCATTCGACTCAGCACCCCGAAGGCTACAACTGGTGAAATTTTAATTTTTGCCTTAACTTCCCCTTTAAAGGGGAAGTTAAGGCAAAAATCAAAATGTCACCAGTTGTAGTCTTCGGGGTGCTGAGTCGAATGGTCTTGGTCCGAGAAAGCTGAGACGCTCCCTTCCTACTTGAATCCCAATCGAACTCGCGCACTTCCACTGAAACTGGGTGACTGCGCCCTACTAGATGGGGATTTGTATGCAAAATGTCACTAAAAGCGCCATTTCGTTCTTATAAAAGCACGGATGACCGCGATTGGCCCATATGTTGTAGTCTTTTGGACGCTGAGTCGACTGGTTTTGGTCCGAAAAGGCTGCGATGCAGCATTCCTCCTTTATTCCCAATCGAACATGGTTGAACAAGCGGTCACGTGCTCCTGGGTGCCCAAATCACCTGGTCACCATGCCAGCAGGCGAAAACTTTCACACCAAGGTTCAACTCGAGTTCAACTCGAGTGACAGGACTGCACCCAAAAAAGGTCAAACAGGCTAGTAAGTTGTACCCTGCAGGCACGGTGATCAGGTGACTGGTGTACGCAGGAGCACGTGACCACTTGTTCAACCATGTTCGATTGGGAATAAAGGAGGAACGCTGCATCGCAGCCTTTTCGGACCAAAGCCAATCGACTCGGCGTCCAAAAGACTACAACATATGGGCCATTCGCGGTCATCCATGCTTTTATAAGAACAAAATGGCGCTTTTAGTGACATTTTGCATACAAGTCCCCATCTAGTAGGGCGCAGTCACCCAGTTTCGGTGGAAGTGCGCGAGTTCGATTGGGATTAAAGTAGGAAGGGAGCGTCTCAGCTTCCTCGGACCACGACCATTCGACTCAGCACCCCGAAGACTACAACTGGTGAAATTTTGATTTTTGCCTTAACTTCCCCTTTAATTCGAACATACCGCTTAATTAGAAGTTTTTCCAGGACCGATTTCTATCAACACGATTCCCACATAAAAATTTCTGATAATTCGAACCTCGAACTGGATATGTCCGGTTAACTAGAAGTCCCACGGATTCCACTTACATAGAAAATGTGTGGGATTTGTGCTGATAATTCGAAGTTAGCAAAGTGTAATTCGAAGTTCACAGTACATTGTACTGGTCCGTTCAGTTTGCATGAGCAGGCTGTGCCGGTCAGTTCAGTATCTGTGAAATCTGTGTCTAAGGTCCATAGCACAACTCTGCGTGACCCTGCGAGCATTTTGACATACATACATGTATTGTGTTGTCGGTTCATGTTTGGATAATTAGAATGTCCGGATAATTAGAAGTGTTTTCCTGGCATTTTGAGGTTCGAATTATCAGGATTCCACCTGTATACCTAATCATCACATTGACTTGATGATACCACATATTCAACTTCTACCTGAAGTATGCATCATCCGTACAGGGTTCCGAACTTCCAATTCATCAGACGTGGCAGTGTCAGCTTGAACTGAACACTAGCTCGCATAGTAGCAGCACAGAGCCACTCACCCCAATGTACTGATAGTAGGCATGTATCCTATTCGGACTGCATGTGTTGGCCATGATCTAAACCGGAACACAAGACAAACGGTGAGTAAAGAAATGATACACACAGTAAAGAAGAATTCAGGCAGCAAACAGCAGCCACGTGTGACACCAATGCTTCAACGTAAACAGCACTGTACAAGCGTTCATTGCCATAGATGGTAGACCTACCATGTTTACCATTTACGGCGATGCACATTATCTTGAGAATGATTTAAACTTTACACATACAACATACAACTCATGAATCAGATAGCAATGCTGCACTGTACTGAAGTACATCTCAGTCGGGACCATTGTGAGAAAACTGCATCTTGTACGGCACACCCACCACCGTATAAACAGCGTTGCAAAGATGACCATTACCAAAAACTCTTCGGCTTCACCGTACATGTAATACCCAGGACATTGACGTGCTCTTTGTTCACTTCCCCAGCCCCCCCCCCCCCCCCCTTTTCATTTTCACCCCCCCCCCCCCATTATTAGCACTGCTTGCCACTGTGCCCCGATCCTTGACTTGAAAACCGTATAATTTACAAGGCTTAGGCAAGGCTTATCGATCTTTTACACGAAAGAAAAAAGTTTCGTTTATGGGTGGGTGAGTCAAGTAGAGTTTTTGTTTTGGAAAAATATTGAAATGTAAGACATCAATGCATTCCAGCTGTCAAGTTAATCTATTTTTCGTTCAGGAGGGGGGGGGGGAGGGTCCTAACTAAACTTTTTTTCGTTTCGTGATGGCCCCTTAGTCATAGTGGCTTACTCACAAGTGCGCAGGTCTGCTGGTGACCTTGTTGACTGTAGTACGGCTCACTCAACGGTCGGGCAATCCCTTCTGCTAAGTTCACTGCAGGCCGAATTCCTCGGTCATCGTCAGGTTGCGAGACTCGATCGGAAGGCCTCCACTCGGGCTCTGCAAGGTCCCAGGCTCGCTCCCTGCTGTATTCGCAGCGAAACTTCATGTCCACTTTGGCATGGGCTAGCCACCATCCTAGACTTGAGACTTGCATTGGGTCCGTGACTTGACTCACCACCATGTTACCCGACAGGACAAAGTCACCACCGTGCCACAAACTCTTCACTCCGCTGAACAACGATAGGACACGGGCACAAGCATGCCATACACACATTATAAACACACCACACACACACACACACACACACACACACACACACACACACACACACACACACACATCACACACACACACACACCGCGCATATGCATACACGCATGCACACACATGCATACAGCATTACACTCCATCGCCTCAGCTTGGCTGCGTATGCACTTTCGCTGGTAAACGTAAAACGTATCCGGCAAGTCAGGGGCACTGGAAGGTATTTTAGTGTGGTTACGGTCAGCCATCTCAAAGTACTATTTACCCGTGGGGGACTCTGGGGGTGGCTGAGCCGAACATTTTGGAAATCTAGAGCCCAGATCAGTGCATCATATTGATTCACGGTCCGGGTACCCAGTGTCTGCTGTAGGGTTTCAAACCAACCGTGTACTTCAAAAGTACACGTGTACTTTGCAAAACTCATCCAACCGGGTCAGAGCCGGGTCAGAGCCGGGTCAGAGCCGGGTCAGAGCCGGGTCAGAGCCGGGTCAGAGCCGGGTACGTTCAAGTGCGGCTAGCCTACTGCATGTATATCAGGGACTGTACATATATATGTAGCATACCGGTATGTATACTATTCCCAAACCGGTATGTATACTATTCCCAAACCGGTATGTATACTATTCCCAAACCGGTATGTATACTATTCCCAAACCGGTATGTATACTATTCCCAAACCGGTATGTATACTATTCCCAAACCGGTATGTATACTATTCCCAAACCGGTATGTATACTATTCCCAAACCGGTATGTATACTATTCCCAAACCGGTATGTATACTATTCCCAAACCGGTATGTATACTATTCCCAAACCGGTATGTATACTATTCCCAAACCGGTATGTATACTATTCCCAAACCGGTATGTATACTATTCCCAAACCGGTATGTATACTATTCCCAAACCGGTATGTATACTATTCCCAAACCGGTATGTATACTATTCCCAAACCGGTATGTATACTATTCCCAAACTGGTATGTATACTATTCCCAAACCGGTATGTATACTATTCCCAAACCGGTATGTATACTATTCCCAAACCGGTATGTATACTATTCCCAAACCGGTATGTATACTATTCCCAAACGGGTCACAAGTGACTCGTAGATTCCGCTGGGTCCGACGTGGAATCGGGGTTGCGGGGGGGGGGGGGGGGGCGAGGGCGAAGAATGTGACAGTGTGTTCAAGTGACCCGGTGTTCCTTTTCCAAACAGGTCCAAGTACCCCCCAACCGAATTGTTGACCCAGCTCTGGAGCAGACACTGGTACCTGGGGCACCTGGGGCAAAGAGGGGTACTGTCAATACCATAGTCCATAGTGATGTCTGTGACTGACGCCCCTTGCCTTGTGCCAAGCTCAACGTATTTTGTGTACTAGCCGTAACGTTAGTGTAAATGAACCCACGTGTGACTGAGTGCTGACACTGTCAATGCTATAGCAGGTCGATAGGCGGTCGAACAGACACATACACATAAGATAGGCTGGCCGTTCGACTAAACCGAACCGCATTTAATGTGGACTAGTGTCGTTCGACTTCCTCAATCAGTCGACCCACACAAGTCACAACGCTGTAGACTGAATGAGAATGAATGAATGAGACATTGAGCGTAGCAAACATACAGGAACGAAGAAAGCCGGACCGAGCGACTCACTCACTCTTACCAATAATTGCGAGTGAAGGCGGTGGCCGTGAGAAGCTCCCGCCAGCCGGCGTTCTTCTCTCCTTTGAGGACAACCACATCTCCTGGACTGCCCGGCTGTGTGTTCAACTCCGACTCGGAACATTGCACTTCGCTCAATACTCGTATTGTCGCTCGCAGGATCAAAAGGAGCGCAACAGCGCAACAGCAAGCTACCAACACACAACAGTAGCGAGGTTCTCTTCTCCGGACTAGCATCCCTTCAGCAGCATACCCTCTTCTCTAGCACCACAGAGAATTCTTCTCAAAAACGTCAACCAGTCATGTCTTGCAGCGTTCACACCAGGCTAGCAGGGCATTGGTAGCTTCGCGGCCGTTACTTCCACGAAGCCCTGTTCGGGTTTCATCCTAACTAAGAGGACTTCACTTCAGTCGCAACATACTCGAGGGTTCAAACCGTTGCCGAAACTTTCGCGCCGGAGGAACTGGCTTCGTTCGTAAATTTTCATTGACAAGACAAGACAAGAAACTGAACACTCATGTACTCAGTCACTCAGTCACTGAAGAAACATTATTTTCACCCGGCCCGATGTTGTAGCTGGCGAAAAACATGATTGTAAGGAAGATTTAGGCCTTATTTTATCACCATGAATCATGATCACCTACCTCCTTGAAAGAGGCTTCGGTCCAGTTTGGGCATCAGCACTAGTGCTAGGGTTTGTGTGTGGTCACATACAATGACTATGTAGTCATTGTACTTTGTAGAGTCTATAGACTATGGGACACTGGTCACAGTGGTGCTAAGGCCTACACATGCACGGGTACTAGTATGCCATGATACACACAACAACAGAGGCAAATACCTGTACTGTAGTCTGTAAAGTCATGTATAATTATAATCATAACCTCATTGACATTGATAATGCATTGCTTTGACTATTCACGGTGCTAGACTCGCAATTTGTAGTCATAGTAGACTACTAGTACTGATTAGTAGGCACAATGTATCTCCGATGAGCACATCACTATCTCTTTCACGCACTCACGCAGTCTACAGTACAAAATACACACACACACACACACACACACACACACACACACACACACACACACACACACCACGGACATGGGGAGACGCCGATACAGTAGCATTGCCCTAATCCGGGCAGGTTGTGACAGAGCACTGCCCATAACTAGAAAGGGGAGTAAATTCACATTCACCCAAGTACTCGTAGGCACCGGCACAAGCGGCTGGCTACTCCCTAACTAGACGGAGGCTCTCCAAACACATTGTTTGGAAAACAAGAACTACAGCACATTGCAGTAACGTTAATTATGTACAACTTGAGATCAAAGCAAACAGGACAACCCAAAATCGGTAATAAATAGAACACTCCATTGAAGTGTAAGATTGAACGCTTGACAAGAAACCGCATGCGCTACTACTGCATAGAAACTGTACCCTAGTAAACACCAGTAAAATGGCCCGATGCCTAACTAGACCAAACGACATGACAATAAAAAATAACTCTACACTATAGAATCCTAAACCAACCCAAAAGGGGTCCATCATTATATATTGATTATAATATTGCTGGTAGATCTACTCAGTGAAGCATCAACAGTATGTACATGATTCACTCTGGCCAGTGTCATAATAATTTTATGCACGAGTGCAGTGCTTTCGCATTAAAAATGGCACCAAATTAAGTCGAATAAATGCACGTCCTATGGTCTAGTCAACAGTGATTTTGTTAGTTAGGGAGAAAATATTTGGAGGTCTGTTTCCAGCACGAAGCTTCCAGTAAAAAATATGCACGAAGTCTGGGAAGCGATGGAAACAAGTAGTACAGCTGAAGCTAATACGTCCCTAGTGCTGGTATTCTGGCTGAGATATATGGCGACGAAAGTGTGCAAGTGGAAAACTAAATGAACTAAATGGAGTAGATCATTGTCCTGTACTCCTCAAGAAGTTCAAACTCCTTTTCAAGCGTACTGTCCAGATATTCATCTCCTTCTCCTTCTAAGTCCGGAACCAGATCGTTCTTGATTGCCTTTGCCAACTCGTCCTCCTCATGGGACCTTTTGCGTGGACCCTTCTTCCCGACCGCCTTTACTATTTCCGGATCCAGCTGTAGGGCTCTAGCCAGCTCGGCACCGGCAGAGTCCCACACGACGCCATTCGCCTGAGACACCCCATCAGAATGGCATTCGTCGAGAATCCCACCGGTGGAAAGGAGATGATCGATCAGTGGCTGCAGCTGCATGTCGTAAAGCCGCAGACCAGCACGGAGAACAGACTCGTCGAAGCCCATGGCTAAGCCCTGCTGGACGAGGCCATCCTCAGCGTCTGCCTGTGCATCATGGTCAATGTGCTGCAGCTGCTGTCGATACTCATCAAGAGCAGCTGCCTCTAGTGTGTCACGACTCTCCTGCAAAGCAATAAGGCTCGCAGACATATTGTTATTACACTGGCGCAGAGCCAGCTTGCACAGGATAGGCGGGAAGCCCATGCTACAGAGCTTGTCATACATGTCCACGTTGACGCAGGCACTACCATTCGCAATGCGTCCCAGAGCGCGTGCGCGCTTGCGATTAGCCGATTGCTCGGCAACCAGCAGCTCGCTCTGCTTCCTCATCTCGGCCTTTTCCATGAGACTGAGAGCAGCGCGCTGTATGTCATGGCCACAGGCACGCAGAGCAATGCGTGCAGATTGCTCGCTACATCCAGACATGGACATCAGAATGCCCAGCTGTTCTGAGCTGACTTGCAAGCTGCTCAGCTCCGTCTTGGATTGCTCTACCAGCTCTCTGGCGGAGTTGGGCCGGCCTGTGAAGTGAGCCACAACAGCCTGCAGCAAGTGAAGTCGCCCAAGAAGCAGCTTCTCTGCGCCTACATTGCCCTGCTTGTGCAAGGCCAGCCGCTCCATGTTCTTACCATACGTCTTCCGCAGCGTTGTCTCACAGTTGGCGAGACGATGCTCAGCCTCCGGCAGTGCACCCGTTTCTCGCAGTAGCAGCTGGCACCAGCATATGTCCAAGCACAGAACGGCATAGTTATCCACTAGTGACAGTATCTTGGCACTGCACTGGGAAAACTCACGATCGCCCTCAACCAGAACGGCCAGCGCCTGCCGGAGATCATTGTCAGATGAAGCTCGCCGCAGCATGGCCCTCCCTTTCTGGTGTAACGTTAGAGCCAGTGTCAGGGCACGGCGCTCGGCCGAGGGTAAGTCAATCGGCCGACCCTGCTGGTCACAGATGTCCACGTACGGGCCCACGCCATCGTCCTCTCGGCCGGCCAGTGACGAGGCTACATTGCGAACACGAGAAGCACCATGCGCCGCGGCTATCTCGCTGATCTCCCGCTGTTCCTCGGCTGATATTGGCAGTGTCATCAAGACTGAACCTGCACATACACCTTGCTCACGTAGCAGCTTTACGTCATCGACAACCTGGCCACAATGAACAATGCGAAATGAACCGACACGAAGAGACGCTGCCTTTGCCACAAGTCCGTGCAGATGGGCACCAGGCTTGTCCAGAGACGCCGTAACATTAAGTACCTGCACCTCGGCTTCGGCTTCACGACGAACCTGCACCGTGAGCTGCTCGCCAACCTCTACCTTTGATGCAGACTCCAGGCCTGCACGCCGTTGACTGAGTTTGGATATGGCATGTTGCCGCAGCGTTTCAAGCATGGCTATTACATCAGCCTGCGACGCACCACTCACCTCAGCATAACGGCCAACCATTGCAGGGTCATACGTGCCAGCGCTAAAGCCATCTTCTGACGTGTACGGCTCCAGCCACAGCTTCACGTTATCAGCTTTTAGTAACTGTCGCACCACGTCGCGAAGTCCACCTGCACCCTCAGCCATCCTTGTCGGTGCGTACAGTAACTGAGTTGGCACAGTCGTATTCACAGAACACAAAATATAGTTCAGCAGTGAATGCGCAGCTACTTCAAATACTGCAAAGGAAACACCCGTTTTATCTTATTCTCAGCACAGCGAAAGAAACGCTCCTAAAATTCTTCAAACAAGCAAAGTCAGCTCTCAACCAGAATGACCCCAGCTGTGGCGACAAATGCTACTTTATGAGTCGACGATGTAAGTCTTGTGATGATCGGATCCAGGAACCTCCAACAACTGCATAGGTCAGCTAAACCGTGTAGCTTCCAACTTTACTTTTGCCTGGTAGAACTACTTGGAGATACACTTAGAGAAAGGACCTCTAGTAATGGCAGCCTAGCATCCACAAAGGCCAAAGTGACACTGACAGGCTGTGACAGCCTGAAAAATGCTACTCGCATCAAGAAAAATGGATCATAGACTGATAATCTCTGATTTGAAATGGCTCACCCACGTGCATTCTGTCGACTATGAGTTGGCGATGAGTCAGATCAAGAGAGAAAATGAATCAGTGCAGTGCGTACAAAATCGGTATCTCGTGATCATTCGGTACCGGTATACCGGCCAGCTACACATGTCATCAAGAGTCCATGGACTCTTGATGTCATTGATGTCAACAAAATTTTCATGAGATGAGGTCATGGTCAGTACAAAACAGTCGTCATTCAAAATATTTTCAAATATTTTTGTTGAGAGAAAGCAGAAATGCATTGGCATTGCAAACACTTTCCCTTTTTCCATTATTTTAGGTCTCATGTTTTGTAATCAAATTTGGAATGGCTAGCACCACTAGAAGTAGAAGTAATGAACTGAACTTGAAGTGGTTAGTTCTTGCTATCTCTGCCATTTCGAGTGCCGGTGTGACAGTGAGTGAAGAAGAAGGCACCACTGTCCAAAACCAACCTGCTGCTGTAGAATGGGATTCGAACGGCTATCTATCCTTCTGCCTATGCATGGGGCGATTTGGCAACCAGGCGGCACACTTCCTCGGTGGTCTGGCAATGGCTAAGAGAATCAATCGCACTCTGATACTTCCCCCATGGAACGATGGACACCTAGTTCAGTTTGAGCAGTGGTTCAAAGTTGAGGCAGTCAGTCAGTACCATCGTGTAATCACTGCTAGTGACTTCATGGAGAAGCTAGCCCCAGCTAACTGGCCTCCTGAGAAGAGAGTTGGAATGTGTTTTAGCTTCCCGGGAGGTTCTTCGCCGCCATGCGTCATGGACGATTCTGATCATCACTTCTGGTACTGGCGGGCACAAGGAATAAAATTTGTTCGCACCGAACAGTATTACTTGAGCTACAATGCGGAGATAGCAGACACAAAGCGCGAGTGGGATGAGCGTTTTCCGGCCGATAAGTATCCAGTTCTTGCCTTGCGAGGTGCACCGGCTGGTTTTCCTATGACAAAGAAAAACAATGCACTGCACGAGCACTTGGTTTGGTCTGATGCAATAGCCAGCGAGAGAGATCGTCTCATTGCTGAACACCTGCCCGCGGGCGGGAAGTTCGTTGGCATTCACATTCGGAACGCGCAGGACTGGGTGAACACCTGTAACATGGTGGATACGGCACGTGGGTCCAGCCTGATGGCCTCACCCCAGTGTGTCGGCTATGAAGCCGGCACAGGCACCGTGACCAAGGACATGTGCCTTCCTTCACGCCATTCCATTGCACAGCACACAGCAGAGACCGTGAGCAAGATCGGCGCCAATGCCGTGTATGTTGCCACAGCCGACGACCCGATGCTTGATGACCTGCGGTCTGCACTCGGCAGCAGTGTTAAACTGGTGGCGCTGAAACCTCGCCCTCAGCTGGACCTTGCCATCTTGGCCCAGGCAGATCATTTCATTGGCAACTGTGTCTCGTCCTTCTCTGCGTTTGTTCGACAGGAGAGAGATGCTAATGGCAAGTCAAGCAGCTTCTTCAATCATGGAAGATCCCACCTTTCACCTATTGTCCATGAGGACCTGTGAGTCCAGAACTTCTTGTTGATAGTTAAGAGAGACAGACTGTTAGCTGCTTGCGAAAGCATTTGAAACATGCAACCATCTTTTTTTACATGCAACTTTACTTCAACTTTAGGATGTGTTTAACTGCAAAACATGCTGACATATTTATTTTACCTACTAGTAGTCGGGCCCCCACATAAGAGACCATGACGCGTTTTTTTAGGTGCTTCTATTTTGAAACAGAATTTTATCCCACTTCCTGCTCATTAAACTACAAGTCCTACTCGTCTACAGTGGATACCTTTCCCTGGTGATTTGTTCAAGTCAGGTGCTATAGGATACACATTTGTATGCTCTGCTCGATGGGGAGCCTAGTTAGGAAAGGGAGGTTTCACCTGTGGTAGCCTCTTCCGCCCAATAAGACCAGTGGATACACGATTACGAACCGGGCTGGCTTGCACTTGGATAGCTCGAGTGAGCGTCATCATTGCCTCTGTGGCAAACCATGTGACCGAGAACGTGTCGGAGGGCACACAGCTGCTCGGAGCTTTGATACATACATGTATATACTGCTTACAGTGATGGCAAGTGAAGTCCGCAGTGCCAGGTGGAGCGCAGTGCCAGGTGGCCACCCTCTAGCTTTGCATGCGCTGGCCACAGAGAACCCTCTCGGGCACCAACGTCGGATTACTCGGTACATCGCTCGCCACCAGTGTTTGTAAGTGGATACAAGACCATGAGTGCTGAAGTTTCGAAAAACACTCTTGGTTGTTGAGTTGTTCTACAGTTGTCTGTAATGCAGCTTTCAGTTGTGCTCTTTTTTTCTTTTCTTTTTACCACTACAGGTGGAATCCTGATAATTCGAATACGGCTTAATTCGAACATACCGCTTAATTAGAAGTTTTTCCAGGACCGATTTCTGTCAATACGATTCCCACATATATTTTTCTGATAATTCAAACCTCGAACCGGACATGTCCGATTAATTCGAAGTTCCACGGATTCCACTTACATAGAAAATGTGTGGGATTTGTGCTGATAATTCGAAGTTAGCAAAGTGTAATTCGAAGTTCACTGTACACTGTACTGGTCAGTTCAACACTCTCTCGACCTACTCCCACTTGCTGCACTATACACCCAGGTGTATCGAACACTCTCTCGACCTACTCCCACTCGCTGCAAGTATTTAAAGTAACAAACTTGTGAAAATCTTTGGTGTGCCCGCTCCGTTCTGTCTCCAAACACGAATACCGTTTCTTCCAGGGTCAGTCACTCAAGCAAACTAAAGGCGCACATGGCTATTGATCGTGCAGCAGATATCAGAAATACGACTCGTATCATCAAGCTGAATGCACACCATCCTAAGCAGCATACATACAGTCATACATACATTGCCAAGCTCCAGAATCAGCTCAAGTCTAATAAAGTTCCTTGGAAATGGCTCGGCCTGCCATTGGCTGGAAGGAGACGACAGGCCATCAATCGAAAATATGTGTGACAATAAATCATCCTATCAAGTCAAGTAAGTACGTGTATCGAAACATTGGAAACATTCAGGTTTTTAGAGCAAGCCTGCTGTACATAAACACCAGGCTATTCCCAAAACACTATTACATGTACCGGGTCATAATGCCGGGAACATGAGACTAGAGAAAGGGTATATGGAAGTCATCACGGTGCCTTGCTTAACATGACATTGTGTCAAACTCGCCTCACATTGCTGTTTCACTGATGACTGGACGCTCTGTCTTGCCACCAGTCCCCGACTCAATAGCTAGGTTATCCTGGGGCGAACGAGATACCTCGCTAGGACCTGATGTCGGTGTGGGCGTCCTGGGTATAGATAGCCTGTTGTAGTCAAGATCGTTCCGAGCATTGCCGTCTTCGGGGGCACATGCCAGTGGAAAAAAGATGGGCATTGTTCTACTGACATTTCCATCCTCCACCAGGGGAGTCTTCAGAGCCTGCTTATAACTATGCAGGCTTTGCTTATCTTCATCCACTTCACCAATTTCGGGCATTTGGCCCGCAGAGTCTCCGCTTGTGCCCCCGCCACTGGAACGGGAGATGGCTCGCACCCTCTTGGCAATTGCCTTAATGTCAACACTCAAGGACCGAGAGTGTCTGCCCGTTGCATCCTCGAGCGCCTTGACGTACTCATCCTCCTCCTCTCGCGACAGTTGGCCAAGCTTGCGTAGGCTGGGAACTAAAACCAAGATGATGTAGCCCACGACAAACTGTATGGTCGACAGGTGCTTGAGCATACTTTTAGTATCCGGACTGGTAACGACCGACGCGACTCCAGTGAATGCAGCGCCCAGGGCAACAGTCAGGACCGATGCAACGGCAATCAGAGCAAACAATCTAGACCTGGGATCGTATACAACGGCCTCCATCTTGCCATGTGCCGCCAGCCACATCAGGTAGATACACAGCACCAGTGTGACCAGGTTCAGCAAACAATCGTACACCAGTTGGCTCTCTTCACCACCGTCGTAACCGCAGACCAACTCGACTTTGACATGGGGCGTCACCGTTCTTATGACACTCATGGCATCACCGGCGGTGATAGATATAATCAATATGGCTGCAGTGATGCACTCAGCAACAAGCATTCCCAGAAACCTGATTGCTGGGTAGATGAATATCGTGCCCACCTGGAAGTTGTGTGCCAGGCATAGACGATGAATCGCGAACAGGAGCGGAAACGAGGCAACAGCAGTCAAGCCCACAGCAGACAGCACAAACCTGGCGACGCAGATATTGTGAGAGGGACCGTTGACTTCCAATACAGTAGATGTCAGTGCAAGCAACATCCCAAACAGGCAGAACAGTGTCGGCTCTCGACCAAATGCAAAGAAGCTGTCATTGTACCTCTTCAACGTCCACGCAATGCCAAGCAAGGTAGCTATAATAGCGAGAACTGCCAAGACCACCACAACAATGGCCGCGGCTGACGGAGCGCTGAACTGTTCAACTTTCACCGGAACACAGTATGTGTGATCAGCGCTGCTCTTCGTCGCATTCTCACAGGGCACGCATGTATCGCTGTTATTCATCAGAGAGATTCGATTCTCCGGACATGAATCACACATCCAGCAACAGGTCTGGCAGGAAGTGCTGCCTTCAATTTTCCTGACCACTCTCCTTGTTCCGGGAGGACATGTCTCACTGCAGACTGACACCGGCCGTGTATTGATCTCAGAGTTCCAGATCACTGCTGCCTCGTCCAGCGTGAACTCGGAGCCACAGGTGTCCAAAGAAGAATTGGACGCACTTGTATTGTCTGAGCTGCAAGTCGCGTTCCCTCGCAATCCCGTCAACGCTTTGCTGAAATTGCCCACAGCGGGGAATGAGATCGTGGCATTATCTACTGCACTCACTTGCATGTTCCTGATATCATACAGCGAGATGTACGGATCGCCGTTATCATCAAAGGAAAAGTTGTTGCCGTTGATGGTGGTGAACGACACACTCTTAAGAGCCTCAAGGAGATTTGTCCGTGCTTCAACTTCAAGACATGATACGCTGCCGTTGCAAGGTTTATTGTACAAATTGTCTAAAGCATGCGCGAATGCAAACACGGAGTGATATACATACGGAACTTTGCTGTCCATGGCGTAGTTAGTAGCTAGAGAAAATTCACTGTCACTCCTGCTACCGTCGCTTCCGTTCGCTGACATGGCCGACTGGCGTTGGAGCATCCTTGTCCAAAACTCGTCGAACCAGGGATTGTCCATGGTGTTGGAACGCGTGCGGCTCGTCCAATGAGACTGGAAGTCCGCGTAGGGTGACGACAGCGGAATGGGACTGATCGACCCCCTAGACACACCCACTGCCATGTCAACCGCAGTGGCCGTGTCGCCCCAAGCATCCACGCCAATAAAGGTAATGTTATGCTCCAGCGCTGCCTTCCAGAGTGACTCGTTGCCGGACCTTTTGGGATACTGGAAGAACTGAGATGTCTCACTGGCCTGGGTGAACATCACCACGACTGTCGAGCGCTTGATTGGCTCATCAGTTAGAAGTTCTGACCATATCTCTTCGTAGACGGTATCATTGTGGGAAGCGCCTTCTCGAATCTCCCAGGTCTTAGATTGGCAAATTTGCGTTACTCGTTCCGCTTGCATCTGTTCCGTACAAACCCGGGAAAATCCAAGCGCACTCTTCACCGCATTGATGCCATCTACGCCGAAATCATCGGCCGTGTGTATCAGGCCGACAAACTCCCAATCCAGAGTTCGTATCATACGAGCAATAGCTCGTGCCGTGCCTCGGTCGCTGGGTATGGTACGCAGGAAGTATGGAAAGCTGCTCGACATGCTCAGCTGGGTACTCGTGGCGCCGTAACTGACCATGGGCAGCTGGAAAAGACCCAGCAGCTCTGTTGTCGCCAGACTCACTGAGCTGGAGAACGGTCCGACGATGCCGACAACGCTGGGGATCAGCTTACTGTTCGACTGCGATTCGCTTTCCGCAGGGCATTGCACATCATCGGTGGACTTGCCGAGGAACTCCAGGCACTGTCGGACGGCGTGCGATGACAGGCGACACGTATCGCGGATCTCGTAGCCAAGCGTGACATTCTTCAGCAGCGCAGTGTTGCTGTTCACCATGTCGACGGCATGGCGCATTGCCTCCACCCACTGCTGCGTTTGATCCACCAACATGCCACAGCCCGTTGTGCCGTTCCCGTACTCGGCCAAGGCATGGATCGGAAACAGTCCGCCCAGGTACAGGTCTGCAGCGACGCTGGTACGATTGCATACACGACTGTTATCCTTGCAGGGCCCAAACATGACTTGTTGGCACTGAACACCAGCCGGCAGGTATACATGCGCCGTCAACATGAGCAGAAACAGCACCAGCTGCCACGGCAGCGGCATGTACACCTGCTCCCTGGTGCGCAGGTGACTTGAGAACCCGCTGCCTTTCCTTGCACTTTGCCATCTGCATAGCACCAGCTGATCCATTGCCCAGGGGATGCTGGCCTTGCTGTGCATACTATGCAGCTAGGCGGGTATTATACGGGATATTATGAGCACCAAGTCACTCCTTCTTGACCCAGGCCAGCAGGACAAGAACACACAGCATGCAGTGCTCCAAGCCAGCTGTCGACTGTACAGAGCTAGTGAAGACACCGATTGCTACTTTGCATTCAGAAAGCACAATCACTCGTACATGAACATACACGTAGTTATTGCCTGGTGTCCAAACGGGTGTCAACAGGGTCACACCTTCCACACTCCTGTCCTCAGCTGCTCGTACTTCGTACTAATCGTAGTTGATTAGATCTACTAGCGGTAACACTTCTGTACAATGCTAACATAGACACACGCGTACGCCGCGCTGGACAGGCAAGGAGGCACCACCACCATCCACTAGTGCTAGTAGTACTACTAATACTATTCTGACCGGGCTCTCAGGTGAAACCAATGACTTCGACAAAATAATGTCGAAATGGAACAGCAGGGTTCGGCTGGCAGTAATTTTTAGAATTCTTCCAGTGGCTTACACGTGCCTTCTGGCAGCATCGAAGATCCAACGATGGCTATGGATAGTGTTTTCACAAGCAAAGCGGCGGTAACAGGGAAAGCAACGCACCGCCGTGATCAATAATATTATTGCGGCAATGCAATGGGCTATGAATGACTAATGAGGCACCGACAGCAAGCGAGGCTTTTATATTTCTCGACGAACAACTCCACAGACATGACAGTCAGTACAGCTGGCGCGATGTCATTGCTCAATGGATCACGAACGCTCGCAGCAGCGCAGTAGATCTACGAGTTGTAGAGTCTAGTGAGCAGAGTTTCTGTAGATGCCGTACAAGTATGGCCTCTGGGGTGCACTCTCCATGGACCAGATCAGCAGAATGATTATGTACTCGTAGATCTACTCCACACCGACAGCTCACTGAGACACAACATTAGAGAATCTCTTGAAGCACAACGCAAGCGATCGATTCTGACTTCACCAACTATAGTAAAGACTAGTTGAGTAGCGCGGCTCGACTGATAATTATCTGAAGCTAACCAATGCAATGGCAGTGTTTTGCCTAACTTTTGGCCCAAGCACTGCTGCGATGAGCTAGGCCAGAAGTAAGACTAAGAGCTGACTCTCCACTGTCTGTGTAGGCCACGAGGATGCGTCGACAGTGCTCTAGTACTTTAGTAGTAATACTAATAGTAATAGTAATACTACAAAGACTGAAAGAGTAGGGGATGCTGCTAACGTATAACACTTACAATGAGTCAGTCTACTCAACAGAACTACTAAACAGGCAACGGAACAGGATGTAGAATCTCCCGATAATGATCATGTTTGTTACGCGTCCCTGCGCTGCATCAAGCTACAGTGATTCTCTTCCGCGGAGCGATCCGCACGATTTTAGTCCACTCACCAGCGACTATCTACTGACTAGGACTACGACCGATCGGGATCCGGGGTCCGGGTATCCATGACTTGTACAGACTCAGCAGCGTAGATCTACAACTCTTGGTGTAGCTCAAAGAAAACACAAAAAGGACCTGCCCACATGTATCTAGCTATCCATATTATCCCCGTCACTCTGCACGTGCAGCTCCTGTCACCACAACCTGGCATCATGCACAGGACTCAGGACTGACACTGAGCACAGCTGTGGCTTCGTTCCGTAAATACCTTTATCCTTGACTGCTTTTTCTAGTGCAGCATATATGACACTTCTTGATTACAATAAATTATCTTGTGTGTGTTGTGACACCACACTACCACATCGCCATTCAGTCATTATGACGCCACACTACCGCATCGACATTCATTCAATTCAGTCAGTATCACCGGATTCACCACCCACATTCGCCAATGGCATGGGCGGACGGAATTACCGGTACGTGGTACCGGTATGTGATGGAGCTCTTGCCTCGGACTGTGTCAGTGTGGTATACATGTACAAGTCATGTAGCTGTACGTCATGCATGCTGTGCGCGGCCTTTCAAGAATGCGCGCGCCAACAATGCAACAAAGTTACATGCTGTGCACGCGAAAACAGCCAAAAACGTCATGTCGGAAACCAATGTGGAAATAACTATCAGTGAGTTGTATATTTTAAAGTCATGTACATAATAATTTCGATAATTATTACCGTTTTGCACATATTTTTTCAGACTATTGTACCCGTATAACGATGAATTATTTGACCTCAGATGACGAGCCAAGGAAACAATTCTAAAATGGAAAAATGTGGGCACACGTTATGCGATCGAGTCCACCAACTAAACCAGATTTTGAACAGTCAGACGTGCACAATCTAGCATAAAACTGACAAGGAGTACTGAGACATTCCACAGCATAAAGGTCAGCTTGACCACTAGTGGCACTACTCTTTGGCACTAATATTAATGAACCTCTCCAAGTAATAACTTAGAGAAATAGAGAAAGAAGAATACGGAGGGTCGTTGGTGAGCGCTATCGAACGAGTGTGTGTGTTTGTGTGTGTGTGTGTGTGTGTGTGTGTGTGTGTGTGTGTGTGTGTGTGTGTGTGTGTGTGTGTGTGTGTGTGTGTGTGTGTGTGTGTGTGTGTGTGTGTGTGTGTGTGTGTGTGTGTGTGTGTGTGTGTGTGTGTGTGTGTGTGTGTGTGTGTGTGTGTGTGTGTGTGTGTGTGTGTGTGTGTGTGTGTGTGTGTGTGTGTGTGTGTGTGTGTGTGTGTGTGTGTGTGTGTGTGTGTGTGTGTGTGTGTGTGTGTGTGTGTGTGTGTGTGTGTGTGTGTGTGTGTGTGTGTGTGTGTGTGTGTGTGTGTGTGTGTGTGTGTGTGTGTGTGTGTGTGTGTGTGTGTGTGTGTGTGTGTGTGTGTGTGTGTGTGTGTGTGTGTGTGTGTGTGTGTGTGTGTGTGTGTGTGTGTGTGTGTGTGTGTGTGTGTGTGTGTGTGTGTGTGTGTGTGTGTGTGTGTGTGTGTGTGTGTGTGTGTGTGTGTGTGTGTGTGTGTGTGTGTGTGTGTGTGTGTGTGTGTGTGTGTGTGTGTGTGTGTGTGTGTGTGTGTGTGTGTGTGTGTGTGTGTGTGTGTGTGTGTGTGTGTGTGTGTGTGTGTGTGTGTGTGTGTGTGTGTGTGTGTGTGTGTGTGTGTGTGTGTGTGTGTGTGTGTGTGTGTGTGTGTGTGTGTGTGTGTGTGTGTGTGTGTGTGTGTGTGTGTGTGTGTGTGTGTGTGTGTGTGTGTGTGTGTGTGTGTGTGTGTGTGTGTGTGTGTGTGTGTGTGTGTGTGTGTGTGTGTGTGTGTGTGTGTGTGTGTGTGTGTGTGTGTGTGTGTGTGTGTGTGTGTGTGTGTGTGTGTGTGTGTGTGTGTGTGTGTGTGTGTGTGTGTGTGTGTGTGTGTGTGTGTGTGTGTGTGTGTGTGTGTGTGTGTGTGTGTGTGTGTGTGTGTGTGTGTGTGTGTGTGTGTGTGTGTGTGTGTGTGTGTGTGTGTGTGTGTGTGTGTGTGTGTGTGTGTGTGTGTGTGTGTGTGTGTGTGTGTGTGTGTGTGTGTGTGTGTGTGTGTGTGTGTGTGTGTGTGTGTGTGTGTGTGTGTGTGTGTGTGTGTGTGTGTGTGTGTGTGTGTGTGTGTGTGTGTGTGTGTGTGTGTGTGTGTGTGTGTGTGTGTGTGTGTGTGTGTGTGTGTGTGTGTGTGTGTGTGTGTGTGTGTGTGTGTGTGTGTGTGTGTGTGTGTGTGTGTGTGTGTGTGTGTGTGTGTGTGTGTGTGTGTGTGTGTGTGTGTGTGTGTGTGTGTGTGTGTGTGTGTGTGTGTGTGTGTGTGTGTGTGTGTGTGTGTGTGTGTGTGTACCCCATATGGTGCAGTGGTATGTGCAGTCGATTTCCAATCGAGAGGTTGCGGGTTCAATTCCCGACCATTATGGTCGCACACGTCTTTCTTCTCTTTCTCGGTCTCTTCCTGACTTTTCTTTCATTCTCCTGGGTGGTTACCAACAGCCAGTGTATGCCGGAGTATGTGGTGTGGTGTGTGTGTGTAGAAAAAAAGAAAAAAGAAAAAAATGGAAAAATGAAAAATAGGGATTCACTGGCCAGAAAAAGTCACTTCAATCAGCTGTGTGGTGGATACCAGGCTAAAAATAGTGGCGGTCAATTCATCAGCCTTGCAAGCTGTTGAATGGTGTAATCCCAGCACAAGTTGCTATGTCTAACATAGCTGTTCGCTATCATCGCTTCCGCGATGGGCAAGTCTGAGGTCTGAGGTGTGTGTGTGTGTGTGTGTGTGTGTGTGTGTGTGTGTGTGTGTGTGTGTGTGTGGTGTGCGTGCGTGTGTGTGCGCGCGCTTGTGTGTGTGTGCGTGTGGAGGGGGGGGGGGGAGCGTTGCAATGAACACTACTAGTATTGAGCGAACATCGCAAAGGAGCCGAACAGTCTACTGAGTCCAACAGAGACATGCACAGTCATCTAGTCAGTACAGACGTGGACTTAATGCCACTTCCGGCTTCGACTACGACTGCAATGTGCACTGGCAAATATCTAGGTGCAGGTGCAGGTACTTACCACAAATAGTACACCATGAGAGAGAGAGAGTGTGTGTGTGTGTGTGTGTGTGTGTGTGTGTGTGTGTGTGTGTGTGTGTGTGTGTGTGTGTGTGCATGTGTGTGCGTGTGTGTTGTGTGTGTGTGTGACAGAGAGTGTGTGTGTGTGTGTGTATGTGTGAGAGAGAGTGTGTGTATATGTGTCACCGTGTGTGTGTGTGTGTGGTGTGGTGTGTGTGTGTATAAGTGTGTGTGTTACCAGGTTGCCAAAGCAGATCCTGTTTGCGGAGGGCACTAACACGCGGCCCCGCCATGGACCCAAGCGTCGTTGGAGAGATGTGGCAGCTTCAGACCTGCGTGCGACCGGTATCCCGGAGACGCATTGGTACCACCTTGCTCAGGACCGGAGGGACTGGCGCGAACGTAGCCGTCGGAAGCCACCAAGCCAGCCCCAACCAAGAGTGTTCGTCTGTGTCTGCGGCCGCGACTTTCGCCGTCCGAATGATTTATCCCGACACAAGAACTACTGCCTCGCCTAATAGCTATCATCGCCTTCGGCGATGGGCTTTCCAAAGGTCCAAAGGTGTGTTACGTGTTACATTGTGTGTGTGTGTGGTGTGTCTGTATGTGCGTGTGTGTGTGTGTGTGTGTGTGTGTGTGTGTGTGTGTGTGTGAGTGAGTGAGTGTGTGTGAGAGAGAGAGAGAGAGAGAGAGAGAGAGAGAGAGAGAGAGAGAGAGAGAGAGAGAGAGAGAGAGAGAGAGAGAGAGAGAGAGAGAGAGAGAGAGAGAGAGAGAGAGAGAGAGAGAGAGAGAGAGAGAGAGAGAGAGAGAGAGAGAGAGAGAGAGAGAGAGAGAGAGAGAGAGAGAGAGAGAGAGAGAGAGAGAGAGAGAGAGAGAGAGAGAGAGAGAGAGAGAGAGAGAGAGAGAGAGAGAGAGAGAGAGAGAGAGAGAGAGAGAGAGAGAGAGAGAGAGAGAGAGAGAGAGAGAGAGAGAGAGAGAGAGAGAGAGAGAGAGAGAGAGAGATTACGTCAAAAGAACACTGCAACCGTTTCCCTTCCTGCTCCTTGAATGTTCAGTGTCCAAGCATTGACTCTACTACAATTGATGGTAAAACCACACTATTATGTAAGCCTTTTTAAATAAAGCACGCACAACAGTGTACAGTGACATCCATGTACACGACTGTTAAGCACATGTAATCACGTAGCGTGCTCCACTGTCCGAAGAGTGCTCAATACCCATAATACATGTAGGGTCTTTCCTTCCACACAAGAGAGGGGAACCGGAAGGTGTGTTGCAACTCCGACTTTCACGTAGTCACGACAGTTGCGTGATGAGAAACTCGGAGTTGCAACACAGCTTCCCCTCTCTAGCTCTCTCTCTCTCTCTCTCTCTCCCTCTCTCTTGTGTGACGGTACATGACATGTATGTATATTTACTTTTACTGCAGACAATGAACTTTGTTTTCGCCACTGCCTAGAATTTTAACGTCGATCCTCCACACCATAGCCATCACAGTCGCACACATGCTGCACACGTGAAGCCAGGGCCAACCAGGACAGGAGGTCATGGTTTCATGGGTCCACTGATCAAGAACAATGACGGCATGTATGTGAACAGTCCTGGTAAATGCTGCGGAGGATAGCATATTCTTGAACTTCCTTTGACACACCAGTAGCACAGCACAGTAGTCAGCAGCCAGTACAGCTGTAGCAAGCAGGCGAAAAATAAGTGTGTTGCAACTCCGAGTTTCACGCTTATTGACCTGAACAGAGCGGGAGAGGGAAACATGGAGGCGATAGCAATACAATAATTCACAAACGTCACATTCATGTAAGATAACCTCCAGGCCGTGCCGGAGTAAGTTCAAGTAATAATTATGTTCATTGACTGAGTGTGGGTAGTTGCCTCCTTGCCCCCGGACTGACCCCCCCCCCCCCCCCCCCACCACC